CGCCTTGCCAGCCTCAGGCACCTGCCCCCACCCCTTCGCCGGCTGCCTCGCCCTGTCCCGACTGCGTAAACACGTCTACGGTGTCCCCCCGAAAGACAGACCTACGCATAAAATAAGCCCCCGGCCCGGATTTCTAAAGCATCTTAGCCAATAGACGCCGCCCCCCCGAAAATAGCCTACGCCCGACGGCGTGCTGCTGCGGCAGCGGTCTGGCCACAACGCGTCGCCTCGTCCGTCGCGGGGCGGGAAACCCAGAACACGGATCCCTTCCTCATCCGCCCCCCGTGCCGGCACGCTCTGTGGCTCACAGGAGACGATTCGGGCCGGCACGTTCTAAAGGAACAGAGTGCAAGACATTCGGCTGGCGGATCTCGGGGTTCGGAGAGTGAGGATGATGCTCCAACAAACAAAAACCAGAAAAGAGACGACGTCACTTCTATTTAATCACACGTAGACTCGTCGTTTCGCCGTCCCTCCTCGAAAATCACTCCGCTCACAATAGCGCCTAGGTGTCTCCTTGAGCCCATACTACAGACCCGTGTCTTATTTTCGGGGACGCGTAGGTAGAATAAGTTCTCTGGGCTCGCGCGCGCGAGCTCGTGGCGCGTTCCCCCAACCAGCCCGCGGCCGGCCGCTCTCGCTCACACGCAGCGACACCCCAGCAACGTACCCGGCACCCACCGGCCGCAGCTGAGATGAATCGAACAGATTTCTCTGCACCTGCCCAGCGCTTCGCTCCCTCAACGCTCCGCCCGCCTCCCCAAACAGCCTGTGTTTATCTAAAAGAGTGACCAACCCCGACACTGCAGCCCATGTGAATCCCTCAACGTGCCGTACGGAACAGAGGAAACTTCTCTTCACCTGATAGACGCGCTTATCCCCTCTCCGTCTTCTTCTATACTCACATTCGGTAAACCCAACTGGGCTTCTAGCGCTGGCGCATGGTGGCTCCCACTCTGGGTACGCGTCCACTAAGTCGACAGCCAGGTCGGACACGCACGCCCGGCATCCCACTAAGACAGTCAACAGGCCCAGCGTGGACCGCGCCCAAGTCCACAACAGACGAGAACACGCCGACAGCGTCACGTACAGTCCGACAGCACAATAGACGCACCGGCATCCAAACTAGTCGGACAGCCCAGGTGGGACCGCCGGCCCAGCGTCACTACAGTCACAGCCACAGGGTGGACGCCACGGCCAGCGCCGTCCACCTACTCCAACAGCCACTGGGCGCTGCACGGCCCCCCGGCATCCCACTAAGTCGACAGCCACCGGTGAACACGCACACTCGGCGTCCCTAAGCCGGACAGTCAGATGACGGCACGGCCCGGCGTCCACTACACGCCGCAGCTCCAGATGGACGGCACGGCCGGCGTCCCACTACCGGTCGACCAGCCACGATGGACCGCCGCACGTCCCGGCGTCCACTAAAACGCCGCCCGCCGGCCTCGCCCGGCCCGCCGCGTCCACTACGCCGACCGCGTGGCGAGCCACCCCGCCGTCATACGCTCCGACCACGCCACCGCTGCCGCCCGCCCCCCGCGTCCATCACACACAACAAGGTGGACGCCGCCCCCCCGCGCCCCGCGTCACTACAGCTCGACCAGCCACACGATGGACCGCGCCGGCCCACGCCGTCCTACCGTCGACGCCCAGGTGGACGCGCCGGCCCGGCGTCCACTAACCAGCGCGACGCCCACAGTGGCGCGCACGGCCGGGCGGTGAGCAGGGACGAGGGCTCCAGAGTCCAGCCAACGCCGCGAGACACACACCGGGGGGCCCCGGGTGGGCAGGTCTGCAGAGGAAACCCAGCGATGCACAGGCCAGAGCCTGGCAGGCTTTGCTCGCCCCGAGCCTTGGATGGGCCGGTGCTCGGGCACATCCTACGGCTACCCAGGGCCTGTCGCCCCGGATTCCGCAGGCCGGCCCCCCGGAGCTGCACCGCCAGGCCGCAGAGGTGGCCGCTCTGAGGAGCTGCCCTGCACGGGGTCCGCGGCCCAGTGCGTGTCAGCCACCCTGGCGGACTTAGCTCTCGCTGCACTATCCGGCGCACGAACGTTCCAGAGGACGCTCTCCGCTCGTGGGCTCTGCCTCCGCAGGCTGCGGAGGGGGGCGTGCCGGCGGAGGGGGTGGCCTGCTTAACCCATCTGGCACGGTCCCGGCCGCGACCCTCCCGCCCACGGCCGGCATTCAGCGGTCCACACGCGGGTCCTGCTGGCCCCGTGCCTGGACTGACGCGTCCGCTTCCCTCTGCCTTCTTGTGTGATGAGGACAAGCTTGAGAGCCCTTGAGAGCTTGCTGTTCACTTACAGGCAGCTTCTCTGTAATAATCGCCAATCTACGGTCACATATGATGCATGTTTTCCCTCGACGTTATTTTTAAATATTCACATCTTTATCTTGTTTTATTTTTGAACCGAGTCTCCACGTGTGTTGCCCAGGCTAGAGTGACGTGCTCGCGCGCTCCGCCTCGGGCTCCAGCCAACCTCAAATCTCCCTGGTCGCTCAACGCGACGTCCTCCCCGATCCAGCCAGCTCCTCCCGAGTAGCTGGCACTACGAGGCACCGCGCCACCTGCCCCGGCTTAGTTGGCTATTTTTTTCTATATATATATATCAGTTGGCCAATTGATTTCTTTCTATTTACAATAGAGACTGGGGTCTGGCTCTTGCTCAGGCTGGTTTCGAACTCCTGACCTCGAGCGATCCGCCCGCCTCGGCCTCCCAGAGAGCTAGGATGACAGGCGTGAGCCGCCGTGCCCGGCCTGCAATTTTATCTTGATAAATGAAAAGTTAGAAAAGTCACATCTCGGCTGTCGGCTAAGGTGGCTGTGTGCGTTCATCTGCGGCTGTCGGCTGTAGTCGACGCTGGTACCGAAGTGATTAAAATCAGACACTGCGAGTGAGCTTTGGCCGTTGGGCCCCTCTGTGAGCCGGGGAGGGTGTGTGGGGGTTGGGGGTGCCGGGGAAGAGGGGTACACTTGGGCGGCAGGGGTTTCCACCCTCCGCAAGCTCCTTCCTGTCTCCAAGCAGCCTCTCGGGGTAGCCAGGCATTCTGCCTTCCCACACCCCTGCCCCCGGCTCCCCTCGGCCCAGACTCTCAGCTACCCCAGGGGAAAGCAGGCCTGACCTTCTGGGTGCCTTCCTAAGAAGGGCTTAGTTCCTGCCTGCACCCCCGCCCTCCAGAGCCAAAGGGAGCTGGAGCTACCATCTATATATAGCAGGTGCAAAGCCCCCGACTGGGACCCTCTTGCCCCTTACCGGAAGAAAGCAGAGGCCACGTGGCCAGGCCCATCCTTGCCGGCCTGGACAAAGTCTGTTCAGGGGAGCCAAGCACCACAGACACCAACCCAGCCTCAGTCGGCACCACCTGCTCCCACCTCCACCAGGTGCTAGCAGGGTCCCACCTGGGGACAGACCCTCTCCACCAGGATGGGGGGCTCCAAGTGGGAAGCTGGCCCGTTCGTTGCCACGGCCGGAGCTCAGCCTGCCCTCAGGGTCCGGTTCTCCAAACCCAAGAGAGGTGGTCTCCCCACACTTGGGCCTGCAGTGTGTGTGTGTGGGGGGGCCAGGCGGGCAGCCCCCCAGTCGTAAACAAATACCGGCATGGAGACTTCCAGAGCCACCAGCTGAGACAGGGGCACAGCAGGGTCCCAAGACCGCTCTGGACTCACCCAACTTAACCAGGATCGAGTGTATAGTGCCCAGTCGCCCGAGTGGGCGTCCCCGGCCCAGCCCCGCGCGCGCCCTTACCCGAGCGGTGCCTCTGGCGCAGGACGGCCTGGCCCGGTGGCGGCGACGCTGGCGAAGCAGCAGCAGCAGCGGCGGCGGCGGTGACCACGGTGGTGGCGGCCGTGTGGGGCGCGGAGGCAGCGGCGGCCGCGGGGACTCCAGGGCCTGGGGCGGCGGGCGGGCTCGCCGGTGGCGGGCTCCTTGTCCGCGGGCGCCGGCTCGGTGGCGGCGCGGCCCGCGCTTTGGCGACGCGGGCCGCTGCTCTGGATGTGGGACACCGCCTCCGCGGCCTGCACGTCGGGCGGCGCGAAGCGCGACAGCACGCGCAGCAGGGCCTGGGCCTTGTGCTCCCGCGTGTCGTCGTCGCTGTAGTCCGCCACGCGGCACTCGTACACGCCCTCGTCCTGCGGCCGCACGGCCGACAGCCGCAGCCGGTGCGAGATGTCGTTGCCCTGGACGCGCACCGTCTGCAAGAGAGCGCGCGGTGAGGGCCGGGCCGGGCAGCCCCGGCGCTCCTAGGACCCCAGCTTGGCGCACCCCCCCACATCACCACCCAGCTTTCCTTCCACGTCGGGTCGCCCCAGGGCCGTCGGGGCTCTCTACTCTGCCTGGACGCCCGGGCGCCTGCCCCTTGCGTGGCGTCCCCGGTTCCCCGTCGTCTGGACCAAATGCCCCACCGTGCGCCCCCCTCGCCCACACCAACGGCTTCTTGCCTCCCCTGGGGTTTTCCGTTCAGAGCAGCAGAGCCCACCTGGTCCCCGTCTGGCGCCGTCAAGCAACCTCAGGATGGGCCTCGGGTTTCCTAACCGGCCCACGTCCCTCCCGCGCCCCAGGGGACCGCTTGGACTTCACACCTTCCCAAGCTAATGTTCTTTTTTTTTTTTTTTAGACAGAGTCTCTCTCTGTTGCCAGGCCTAGGAGTAAGTGCCGTGGCATCAGACCTCGCTCACAGAAACCTCCGACTCCTGGCCTCAAGCGATCCTCCTGCCTCAGCCTCTCCGAGTAGCTGTGACTACAGGCATGCGCCACCACACCGCGCTAATTTTTTTCTATATATCTTTTAGTTGGCCAGCCTAATTTCTTTCTATATTTAGTAGAGACGGCGGGTCTCGCTCGTTGCTCAGGCTCGTTTCGAGCTCCTGAGCTCAAAACCGATCCTCCCCGGCCTCGGCCTCCCAGAGTGCTGGCGACGACACGGCGGTGAGCCCCCGCCCCGGCCTATGTCTCTTTTCATCCAGAGCCCCAGGGTCCTGGGGTCGAGTCCAAGGGAAAGCCGCTGTCCCTGCCCCCCCCACTTCGCAGCTAAGCCTCTGTCCCCAAGGAGGCCCTGACCCGAGG